AAACCCTAAACCTCCAATCCAAAACATGGTGAGGACCTCAAGAATAAAGCAACAAAAACAACCGACAGTGGTAAAGCTTTTTGGGTTCTTGGTACAACAACTTGGTTTAACTTACCCTAATAGGGACCCGTAGAAATACTATCGTTTCCATCTCATGACAACAAAATATAAAAGACTAACCATAAATTCCTAAACACGCCTCAACTCTTCTAGAACGGATCCCAAGTTAAGGTAGCATACATAAACAAACTTCCCTCTGTGAAGGGGTTTCCAGGGCGGCTTCAGGGGATTAACTCAGCGTTTAGAATTTTGTGGTTTGGGGAGTAGGTTTTAGGGTTTAGACGGGTTTAGGCTTTTGGGGCTTCAGCCGTTTATGGTTTCGGGTTTGAAGTGTATCGGTTTAGAAGGGTATACTCTGCTTTGGAAAAACTTCTGAAGTACGGTATTGATAAAAGAGTTTGTCGTTTAGCCTCCAACTATCAAGTCAAATACAGGGTCTGGCTGACCGAACCCAAAGTCCCAACAAACCCAGCCAAAGGCTCCTCTGTACTGTTATGAGGGATACTTCCGTAAGTCACAGTAGTAATTCCTAACATGGAAACCCTAAATTCTACTATATCGGTACTTCGGAACCCGTAAAGGAACCCTAAACCCTTAAAGGAACCCTAAACCCTAAACCCTTAAAGTAACCCTGAAAGCAACCCTAAACCCTTTGGGAAAACCCTTGCACTCTCAACCCTGAACACGTAAGCCTGAACTGGCACCGCTGTAGAAACCCAGGGGTCGAAAGGACCCAATAATTAGGTACTTGGCTTTAGGATAGTAGTTAGGTAGGTTAGGATTTTGGAGAGTATGCGATCATTAGGTACTTGGACCCTTGGGGAAACTGTATAGAACCCTGTATAATAAACCTGGTCGGCTACGGGGCTTGCTCAAACCAGCTTGAAGCACCGGGTGCCCTAGTTAGCTGGTTGAGTCATAAAGTTTTAGAGGAAGGGTAGCGCTGCTTTTGAGCACCTATAGCTTTACCTTTACCGTGAATTAAACCCTAAACTGCCTAAACCCTAACCTCTGAACCCCTAAACCCTAAACCGCAACCTACTCACTAAGCCCCTTGATCCTTCTTCAAGCAGACTGCTGTGCGCCCTGCCATCCGCTCGCTGCCCTCAGCATCTGCGGCCCCTTGACTAACATGACACTGCGGATAGGGCACCCTTTGATGGGACAAGGGTTCCCTTTAAACCTTTAAACGGAAGCCTATGCCCCAAACCGGACAAAGGTTTTCGGTTCAGCTTGAGGCCGACACTGAGTACTTGCAGGCTCAGAGTAGTGGGAAGTAGGCTATACGTGAGGTGCCCTAAAGGGGTTTTAAGTTTAAGGTTGTTAGCAAGCCCCAAATACAACCTAAACCCTAAGTTAAGTCTAAAGCCTAAAATACCCGAACCCCTGAGCCCTCACTGCTAAAGCCTATACACCCTAATAAACACCAAACCCTCAAGACTAAAACACCTACACCCTAAAAACTCTAAACCCTAACTCCTTGCCTGACGTCAGATGCTCGAAGAAGGGGTGAACTTTCCTATGAGCTTACCTTATGGACCTTGTGGCTAATGGCTTTAGAAGTCTAGGGTTTTGTGACGAATCCATGAAGCCTTGCAGGCTCGACTACAGCCCAGAGAGCCCAATACCCCTTAATTACGGAATATAGCTTAAATCAAAATATGAAGCCCTATATAATTTAAGCCATATTCCTTAATTAAGGGGTATTGGGCTCTCTGGGAGTAGAGTATTTGTCTTTTGTATTGGCTTGCACATGCGATTTCTTGGCACGGCCATGCCCAGAAAGCCCAATACCGCTTAATTACGGAATATAGCTTAAATCAGCATATGAAGCCCTACATATTTTAAGCAATATTCTTTAATTAAGGGGTATTGGGCTCTCTAGGTGGTTGCCGCTAGCTAGACTGAACATGCCCCAAAACTCCGAGTGGCCTTGTCGCTTGACTTGCGACTGGCAGCGCTGAAACTTCCTCTGCCAGCACCTTGGCTGCGAAAACTAGACCGTAGAGCCCAATACCCCTTAATTAAGGAATGCCTAGGGTTCCTCTTAAAGGCCTTTAAGGGATCTATAGGGTTTAGGGTTTAAGGGAGCCCAATAACCCTTAATTAAGGAATATGGCTTCAATTGTATAGGGCTTCATATTCTGATTTAAGCTATATTCCTCAATTGAGGGGTATTGGGCTCTCTGGGTAGACCGTAGATTGCAGCACTCAGGCTGGGATAATCTACTTTGCAGTTAGGACAGGGTAGGATGAACATGATGCAATAAACCAAAAAAGGCACTACAACCATATCAATCCATGGGGCTAGGTAAACTCTAGTGACTCTAGTGGTAAGCATACTTATACACTCTCCCGTGCCGACTTGAGGTGAGGAGCGGAGTTGAACTTCCCAATGAAGGGCGGTACTATTGAACATGCAACACTATACCGTATAAGCGCTGCGGCACCTAGCCTCCACCCTATGCCTATGCTAGACTGTAAACCATACTTTACACCCTAACTTTAACCATCAACAACTTAACCCCCCAGCCCAAGCCAAAAAGTCATCAGATAAACCCTAACCCTAAGGCTCTAAGGACTCATATTTCAAGGCTTTTGGGCCTAAAGACCATATTATATAAGGCTTTTGGGCCATTTTGAGCCTTAGGGTAACATAAACCTTCAGCCCTAAAGCCGCGAAGCCCACAAGCTCTAAAACCTGACCCTACGCCCTGACCTAAACCTAAACCAGGAAAAGCCGAACCCTACACTAAACCCGAAACCTGAAACCTAAAACCTGAACCCTGAAACCAAACCCTAAAACCTGAAGCCAGCAGCCTACTACTACCACTACTACTACTACTACTACTACCACTACTACTACCACTACTACTACAGCTACTGCTACTGCTACTGCTAGTGCTACTGCTACCGCTACTCCTACTCCTACTCCTACTCCTACTACTACTACTACTACTACTACTACTACTACTACTACTACTACGACTACTACTACTACTACTACTACTACTACTACTACTACGACGACGACGACGACTACTACTACTACTACTACTAAACCCTGACAGCAAACCCTAAAACCTGCCTAGACCCCCCAACTACCTCCTAACATACCCCAAATGCCCACTATTAAGGGCCATAAGGGCTCCATTAAAGGGCCCTTAAATGGTCCTGGTGAAGCCCCCAGCCTGAGGCCATGGCTGAAGAGTGCCTGCCAGCTCCGGCAGCTCCTCTGCCTGGACCGCCTGATCCGGCTTAGGGATTTTTTTTTGAATTTACTGAGGAATCCTTGAGAGTTTAGGGTTCAGGGGTTAGGGGTGTAGGGTTTGGGGGTTAGGGTAAAGGGGTTTAGGGTTTTAGGGTCTAGGGTTTAGGGTTCAGCGGTTAGGGGTGTAGGGTTTAGGGGTTTAGGGCTTTAGGGTTTAGGGTCTATGGGGTTCGGGAGATCTATAAGTGGGGCACTGCCCCCACCCCGTAATGTAGGAACCTGGAAACCTTGGGCCTTTATTAGGCTTCCTTATACGAGCCCTACTGTTTTGGGGTTATAGGTCCAGGGTTTCCCAATCAGGTTAACTACTGCTTTAACTGTCTACATAAGGGTGCCAGGACTCACGGAGTAGGGCAGTTAGACCACAAAGTACCCTCTACGATACCCCAAACACCCACTATTGAGGACCATAAGGGCTCCGTTAAGGGGCACCCGTGAGGTCCTGGCATTGTGGGGTTTTAGGGTTTAGGGCTTAGGGCTTGGAGTTTCGGCGTTCGGGGTTTAGGGGTTTAGGATCTGAAGGTTAAGGGTTTGCGGTCAAAGGTCTAGGGGCCGGGGTACTGGTGATAAGAAGGCTGGAGGGAAGGATGCTGCATCACTTGTATTGGGTTCGGGTTTAGGGCTTAGGGTTTTGTGCTTAGTAATCACTTTGTGTTTTGTGTTAGCATGTTTTTTGACGGCGGTCATCATCATAATTAATAGCCATCCTCGTCATCTTCTTCAGCGTCACCGTCATTATCCATTCGAGTTCATGCAACATGCCTGCTGTTTGTCGGGCTCGTTGCTTGCTTACCTGCAATGAATCATATCGCAAGGAAGTTCGAGCGAAAACACTGAGCTACAAGCTCGCAGCCCTAACATGTAAAATCGGGTGGTGCCGGCTCTTCTACTATACATATGATCTGGAAGCCTACGAAGGACAAATCTTGGCAACTAGTGAGGCTTCTATATTGCCTAGACTCGGCCGATGAAGAAAGCCTCAAGGGAGGGGTATATTCTTGACCATCGTTGCAGTCCCTAGGTAGCTACCCCAAAGGGTCCAAGTATCATGATGGTATACACTTAGACCCCCAAAATGCCCTATAAGTATAGCCCATAATGATACTTGGACCCTTTGGGTACCTTAGGGCCAAGGCGCATAAGTACATTCTATTTAGGTCGACACCGACCCTTATGGGAGGATCCTGCTTCTGTCTGGTTCTTAGTAGGGATTGGGGTAATGGAATATTGAGAGTATTATTGGGAATTATATAGGGGCTACTATAGGGATCCATTCCCTCATTCGCTGCTAAGAACCAAGGAGTCTTGCTTTTGTTCTGCTCTCTCCGGAATGTCCTCCTACCAGCCGTTGCAGCGAACTCCAATCGCCCACGGCTTTCACGTGTCCTCCCCTTCCCCTTCTCGAAGTGGGTCCTTAGGTCGCAGTTCTGTAGAAGCCTGATGAAATCGAGTAACGACTTCTCTAGAGTATTCCTACTATACTTACAAAAACTTATATGGGGGTTTCCGAAAACAGGGGACCCTAAAATAGTATCCTGAATAGTAGGATCCTTATCAATTCGACCAGAGACTTCTGTATGTTATACCTACTATACTTACCTAGTCTTATATAGGGACTGCTGTTAGAAAACATACCGACTCCCTTTTAATCTCTCTTTCAGGGCTGAGCTTAAGCTGCCAGGTTCCTGACTCATGAGGAAACTCCAAACACTCAACCATTGTAGACTCCCTATGGTTGATGATATAAATCCTGCATTACTTTAAGGACCCGAAACTATGGGAATTATGGTATATTCCTGATTATGGGTAATGCAAGATTTATATCACCAACCGTAGAACCGTACCCTTCTAACCCGGATCTGGGGAGGATCCAAAACGCACTAGAGGGTAACTTACATTAATCCCAAAGGCTCCTGTACCATTATGGCTTAAGCCCCAAAGGGGTCCCTATACAGGTACTTTAAGGCCTGAGTATATATATATATATATATATATATACTGTATGGGTACATGCAGCTTCAGGGAATTTGGGACCCTAGCGCAGCAAGTGTCCTCCTACCCTGATATCTTTGGCTTCGGGGCTTAGGGGGTTTAGGGTTTAGGGCTTCAGGATCCCAAACAGGTATCTGCTCCGCTTAAAAGGTAGGCAGTTTAGGGTTCAGGGGCACCTGTCAAGACATAAAGCAGTAAACAAACACATGTACAGCTCACCCGATAGACTTAACGTTATAGTCATAGATTTTCTGATCGAGCGCTTAAAATGAGCCCTGAAAGGAGCCCTTCTTAGTTGCTGATTGCATAAGGCCCCCAAAATGTACACTTTCTGTTTTATAGTGGGTAATATTGTCCCAAAAAGTGTAAAGTGTATCCACTCAGCTACTCCTTAAGAGGATACCACTGGAGAACCAAGGGACGTCGCTTGCCAGATCTTGCCGCAGTAGCTGCTCATCGGAGGTACGTGGTCCTCCTTGAGAAGACCTGAAATGACCCCAAAAGACTCCCAATAAGGGTTGAAGGTTTAAAACCCTAAGGCTCAAATTGGCCCAAAAGCCTTATATAATATGGTCTTTGGGCCCAAAAGCCTTGAAATATGAGTCCTTATAAAGCCTTAGGGAAAGGTTTAGGATTTAGGGGGGGGTTCAGGGTTCCGGGAGTTAGTGGTTTAGGGGTTTGGGGAGATAGTGGTTCAGGTCTTAGGGGGTTACTTGGAGGGTCGGGGGACTTAGTAACTGGTTATTTTTAGGGACTTATAAGTACCATAACCCCAATTAGGGTCCCTTTTAGGGTACTTATAAGTCTACTTACTACCTACTTACTAAGTCCCCCGACCCTCCAAGTAGGGTTTCCACGGTTTTGGGTTGAGGGCCGACCCTAACCTACCACCCCAGTCCCTAAATCCACTCCCAAACCTCCAAAAAACTCCACAGTAGTTCTAGGACGTATGCCCCTAGGGTATAAAAGGGTCTAGAGTCTAGGGCCACTTGAGTACTGAGGCATTCTCATGATCTGGCTTAGCAGCGTCGCAGAGCTCTGGAGACGGCCGTCCTCGCCGTCAGGGGCGCATCACAACTTCCCGGTTACCAGATGACCCTTGAAATGCACGGGGCTTTCTGTTATCTTGCATTCTAAAATCCTACTTGAAGGGTGGGAGGACCTAGTCGTTAGATAGGTGATAAGTAGACTGATCAGTGACGCAAGCGGGATCGCAATTGGAGCCATGGTCAATATCACTCAAGAAAGAACTACTTACTACGTTCCCCAACCCCCTCCGAGATATGACAAGAAACCCTAAACCCTAAACCCGACCCTAAACCCTATAAACCATCAAACCCTAAACCCTAATCCTTCAAACCCTAAACCCCTAAACCCTATAAACCTTCAAACCCTAAACCCCGAACCCGAAAGTTCAGTTGGTCCCAAAGCCGGTGACAAAGGAAGGCTGACCGGTGCATAGAAGGACACGAAAGGCTTTAGTGGCCGGGGTTTAGGGCTTTAGGATTTTAGGTTTTAGGGTTCAGGGGGGTGGTTTTAGGGCTTTAAGGTTTTAGGTTTTAGGTTTTTTTTTGTTTTTTTGCGGGCCCTTGTCCGACTGCATTACCAGAGCGGAATACCTTACCAAGGGTTTTAGGGTTTAGGGTTCAGGGTTTAGGGTTTAGGGATGTTTGGGAAGTTAGGCCCTTTACCCTGCACATGGTTTAAGGGCCAGTGGCGAGACTGGGGTTTCGGATGATGACAACCTGGAGTTTACCTTCAAGAAGGACCGTCTTGCTAAATCTTAGCTCAACAGACTAGGCTGCCAGGACGTATGTTGATGAGTTTCCTTACACAAGTACTTAAACAATACACTTGTGAGGGCGGGGCTTCAGGTAGAGGTTGGTATAGTTAGACCCTGACCTAGGAATGTCTCTGAGCTAGAAACATGCTTGTTCGACAGAGTGTCCGATGTCAGAGAGTTGTCCGAACCAGCCACAAACACCTGCACCGGCAAGCAAGGTTCGACAAGCCCAGACCCCGATCAACCAGCAAGACCACGAGACGCGACACTCCAAATCTGGAAACCCTTATCATGCTCTACTCTATACTGTAACCCTAATTAAAAACAAAACCCTATAAAACCTAAACCCAAAACCCTAAACCCAAAGCCCTAAACCGGGACTGGCAGTAAGCGGATCCTCGGCGCATCCTCGGACGGAAGACGCCCAGTCTTCACTAACTCGGCTCGGACATGCGAGTCGGAGGAAGCCATCTCCCAGAAACCATAGCCTCACAGGTGCTGTGGGTGTGGAGTTTACTATAGGGGCTTTGTCGTAGTTATCTATATATATATATATATATATATATATGTATTTTTTTTCGGGTGGTGGGGGTGGTTTCTTATTTTACTTAAAGTATAATGGACCCCAAAACCCTATTCAGGTGTGCTGTGGGTTTACTGTCTTGTTCTTAGTAGGGAAAAGGGAGACTGGATCCCTGTGATAGTCCCTATATAATCCTCAATTATAGTCCCCATCCCATAATCCATTCCCCCATTCCCCACTAAGAACCAGACAGTTTAAAGTTCACAGAAATTGTCATATAAGGAGCCCTAATTAAGTCCCAAGGTTTCTTAATCAGGCTCCTACATTATGGGTTTAAGGTTTACAGAAATCGTATACCGCAAATAAGGGACCCTAATATAGTAAGTACCCCCAAAAAGCAGGATCCATACTAGAAGGACTCACGAAATAACATACCCCCTCTTTTCGGAAACTCTAAACCCTAAACCCTTTATAGAACCCTTGAAGATCCCTGACGGAATTCGCAAAATTTCTACATATCCTGCCCTTGAGGGTTTAGGGTTTGAGGGTTACAAGGATAGAGGGCTTGTGGTGTAGAGTGTGCATACAGTGTGCACGTGGTGGGTGCGCTTGTTGAGAAATGGGGGCGCGCCAACTGGTCACGCGATCACGTTAGCATGTAGTCCCGCCCGAACCACCCCAACGATCTCACCTGAGGCTTAGGGCTTAGGGTTCACCCCAAAGACCCCCTCAAGGAGGTTTCTCGCTTTCTGCTTCCCTTCGCTGTCATAGCAAACCAGGATTGGTGTCGAGTTGTGGGTCCGCTCGACGAAAAGCAAAGGTTTCCAACAAACAGCCCAAAACTCACACCCTGAGAGGGTCGCTCGAAGTGCAAAGGCATGGGGAGCCGCTCCAAATTGCTAACTGTTGGGGGGGGGTCCTATCCTTGTCCATTTAAGACCGCTCGAATGCGCACACACCAGCCCCAAACACTCAACTGTGTTTGGTCATGTTCTTCACCACCCAAAAACCCTCATGATGTTCAGTTTTCAACCAATTGCCAAGCCCACGGGTAACCGGCACTGCCACTGCTTTAAAGCTGTATGTGTAGGTCATACAGGTTATAAGAGATTATATTTATAGTTACCGTATTTAAGACCCCAATTACTAAGTCCCATGATCCTCCAAGCAGAGGTGGAAGCCAGGGGGCCTGAAGACAGCATGGCCTCCCGGACCTTCTCCTGACTTCCCAGATACCGGGTTTAGGGGTTTAGGGTTTATAAGGGTTTAGGGTTTAGGGCTTAGGATTTATGGGTTTAGGGCTTATGAGGGTTTAGGGGTTTAGGGTTAAGGGCTTATAAGGTTTTTTTTTAAGCGTATAAGGGTTTAGGGTTCAGGGTGTATGGCTGAAGGTTAAAGATTTGCGGGGGTTTAAGGGCTTAGACCAAACCATGAGGTAAAAAAGGCTCAATTGAAGCTTCAGAGCGAACCTACCATATAAGAGCGCCAGAGCGTGTTGAAGCACAATATGGGAGTTTCCGAAAATGGGGGACCCTCAATAGTAGGGTCCTTATGATAAGGACCCCAAGTAAGGTACCCCCCAATTTCCGGAAACACCCATATTTCTTGAAAAAAGAAACTTGGATCACCGAGTTTCTGCAGCCACTCTCGGCTCATCGCCATCCGGTAGCAACCCGAGCTTCCGTAAATTGTGCCTGGAACGACGGCTTTGGCTTTAGGGTCTAGGGTTTTACGATTTAAAGCTTTGGGTTTTAGAGATTTTGGGCTTTGGGGGGTTTAGCGCTTCCGGGTTTTAGGGTTTAGTGTTTGAGGTTGGGGTCCAGGAATTGGCGCTATGGTGCACCTAGACCCTAGACTGTAGCAATCTGCAGCACATTTTGTGTGATACACGATGCAGTGCATCTAGGATCCTAGCATAAGGAAATGTAACGAACAAAAAGCTACAAGATGTTCCTCCTGTCCGGTTCCAGAGCTTTTGGTTGAGGAAAATCTAGAGTTTAGGACTCTACCTAAACGAATACATGTAGACATACAAAAACCAGAAAGACAAAACTAAACTAAGAAGTCAAAAACAGCTAAACAACGAACGAGCGAAATCAATAAACCAGAAACAAATACATAAAGAACAAAGACATACATCAAGAACCACATGCATACAATAAAGATGGACTTAAGCACGGAAAGACATTAATAAATCAATAACGAAACAGATAACTAAGAACGAAATGAGCAGTTAAATGAATACATCAGCAAAGAAATGAATGACAATGACAAACGATATCGACAGAGAAATAATGAACACATCATCGACAAGTAAATACAAAAAACAAGCAAGTACATATGTTTGTGTGTGTATATATAAATATATTTGTTGAGTTTTTAAGTAGATGCATATGCATATATGCATATGCATATATGCATATGCATGTGTATATGTAAGCATGTATGCATGTATCTACGTCTATATGTATGTTAGTATATTGGTATAGTAGTACATCATATATCCACAGATATCTCGTGGGTTAGAGCAACAGAAAAGAACCAGAATAGATAGGAGAGGCGGACCTGAAAACTCGTCAAACCCTTTCAGGTCATCAAGGCTTTGCGAAAACACAAAGAGTTGTTGGCTCTTTGGGTGGATGGTTAGGTCAGGCCTTAAGCTGAAGCTGCTCCTTAGGGTTTAGTGGCTTCGGAAATCTTTTAACCCTAATTATATCCCTAAACCCTAAAACCCTCAACTCTAAACCCTAAGGTTTAGGTTTTCAGGTTTTTGGTTGAAGCCTAACCTAGAGCTTTCTGGAGTTTACCAAGCGCCATTCAGCTGCTCTCAGGATTGTTGGGGTGGGCTTTATGGTTTAGGGTTATAGTTATAGGGTTTAGGATTTAAGGTTTTGGGGTTTTCGGTGTAGACCCATGAACTGGACCTCCCAATGCGCAACGACGGCTCAAACTCCCATGGCCAAGTACACACAAGATACCGGTATATAGCTCTCTAAACTCGAGTCATTGGGTCATCTTGAAAAGGATGCCGGGTCTGAAAAGTAAGCCCAATTTAGAGAACTGTCCATACAGTAGAAGCCAAGAAGTCGGAACATTGTTATCCTCATGCAAAGCGCAGTATAAGGAGTTTCAGCGCGAATCAAGGCGTAGAGTCCAGGAGTCTAGGGCCCAGGGTACAGGATTTACGGATTTGGGATGGGCAGATATCTTCTGCGGCGCTGCACGGATTTAAGGTTTGGGGTTTCAGGCTGTTACTGAAATTTAGTTTTTGAGGTTTAGGTAGGATTTAAGGTCTCCAGCGACCCAAGCTGGGTTGGAAACAGCTACAGGGTCAGCGTTAATATGTGTGTGTATAGATGTAGTATGAATGGTGAAAATTAAGTAAATACAGTAGATCTGCACTCTTGCGGGATTTTCGATGTTCAGCAGATTGGCTGATCAAGTTTTCAGCTGGGACTCAAAAAGAGAACCACACTAGCCAACTCCATAGGCAAGCTTTGAATTCGCAGCCCAAGCCACTTATTGTTCGCATGGTTGCAGAACACGAGCAGTACCTCCTCCAAGTAATCGGCAGCCTCGATGTATCCCAGCTTTTGCATGGCTGTCTGAACCTGAGAGAGCAGGGCAATTTTCGATTATTTTCAAGACGGAAGCACACCTCATCGGTGTCAGCAACAACCGCAGTGGTTTCGGGCATGGGGCGCGAGGTTTATTGGTGGACAGACCAGACACAAAACACTCCGACAAACCTTTCATACCTATCTTCCCCTCAGAAAGCCCGGAAACCTCGACCCCAAACCCTTCTATACCGAAAGCCCGAAAACCCAAACTCCAAGACTTGCTTAGCTCCAAGTAGCCAAGTCTGGTGTGTCTGGTATGACAAACGGACCTCCCGGCAGCCAGTGAGATGTTATATAGGGGCCTTCATGAATAGAAGCGCATTCCTTTCATGGCTTCCTTTGGAGGGCTCGGCAGGTGTGTGTGTGTGTGTGGTTGTGAAAAGGGGTTTTGGGGTATACATTTTATCCTAGATTTATTACGATATGGAACCATACGGAAACAAACCTGGGTACTTGCTTAGGCTTCTATACTATACGGCTTGGAAGGATATGGTTTGTCCTAGGACAGCTCCCCCGCCCCAAGATACCAGGGTTTGTTCAGGGTTTAGGAACCCCGACTGCACTTGTATGAAGAAACCTAAAAAGGACACCATTTTCGAGAAGTACCCATAGTTTTCGAAATTCTGGATGTGTGCACTCCAACATCCCGTAAAATTAATTAAGGAATACACCTTACATAAATCATACTAGGGATCCTACTACAATTTAAGGTGCATTCCTTGATTATATGACGGATATTGGAGCCTCTGGGGAACACCAATAACAAAGGCACCCGACATTAGGCATCACCACAATAGAATGCAATGTCTTGACTCCTAAACCTTGAAGCCTGAAGCCCAAAGCCCTAAAACCCAATAAAGCAAGGCCCAAAACACCCTCAGCCTGATGTGCTACTTGGAGGATCATGGGACTTAGTAATTGGGGTTATATTATCAATAGGGCAACTATAGTTATCATTACTTATAACCCCAAATAGGGTACTTAGAACCTTACTTACTAAGTCCCATGATCCTCCAAGTACCCCAAACCCTTAACTAAACCCTATAGATCCCTTTAAGGAACCCTATAGATCCCTTTAAGGAGCCCGTTAAGAACCCCCAAACCCTTAACCGAAGACCAGAAGCCCGTCGGTCAGTCCTGGCCTCCCCCGTGAAAGACAGCGGCTGCTTTGCTTGTTCCGTAGAGCTCACTCTTTCTTCTCCCTTTGGGGTTTAGGGTTCAGGGTTTAGGATTTAGGGTTTAGGGTTTAGGATTGAGGGTTTCGGGTTTAGGGTTTATTTTTTAGGGTTTCGGGTTTAGGGTTCATTATCTACTAACTCTTTCCTCTCCCTTTCCCCAGGGGTCCAAAGGACCCAATAATTAGGTACTCGGTTTTAGGAGAGTAGTTATGTAGGCTAGGATTTTGGAGAGTAAATGATTATTAGGTACTTGGACCCTTGGGGTTTGGGGTTTAGGGTTTAGGGACTTTGCGGATTAGGATTCATGCGCAAAGTGGCTGTTAGGATCATCAGGGAAGTCTGATTTGGGGATCCAAGAAAGTAAATAGGTGACTCGAGGGTTCGACGTTAACCCCGGTTTAGGGTTTTTTTGATTTAGGGTTTCGGGTTTAGGATTTAGCGGTACATAATCTACTAACTCTTTTCCAGGTTGGAGGGCCTACAGGCACAACCCAAACTATCCAATCGCGTTCATTAAATTAAGGTCTGTGTAGCTGTTGATGGGTCTTTCCTTGTTGAATTTTCGATAGAAAGTTTACGGTTTACGGCTTGGGGCGTGCTTCCTCGGTCGACAAAGATGTGGTGCGGGATCAGTCGTGCCAACGATTTGTATGAATGTTGGTGAATAGATTCTTCACCAGGGTGCTTTCCCTAAGGGTCCATGTACCCAGATTAGCATATACTTTGAGCCCAAAGTACCTCTATAAGGACAACTTTAATAAGGTCAAAGCATATACTATTTGGGTACATGGACCCTTAGGGTTTGTAAGAGCCCAGGAGGTGAAACTAAGAAAACCTCCTACAAAATCGTAACTCTGGGGACCCTTCGGGTAAAGGATCTGGATCTTGAAGTTCATACGGGTTTAGGCGACTCACCAGGAAGTCCAAAAAGCATTCATTCGGGCACACACCGTAGATCAACAATAAACCCCACACCCTGAGGCCTAACCCTCAACCCCAGACCCTAACCCCTGAGTCTGGATGAATCTAGGTTAGTTGCGTGATGAAGGTGTTTCGGATTGGGTCGGGAGCTCTGGCCCAGGCAGAACAAACGAGCCACGGTGGTTGCTTCCGGTTTCGGTGCCAGAGGTCAGGTAGTTCAAAACAGGACAGAACACTGTGGCACGTGTGCGAGCAGCAGGGTAACATATATGCCTCAGCGGCTAAACTGAGGATTCTGAAAGCTATCTATATAAATAGACGAATACATGAACAAACACAAATCTAACGATAGATAGATGAGTGGATAGATAGACAGATAGAGAGCCATAAAGGCAGGTAGGTAGGTAAGTAGGAAGGTAGACAAACAGGTTAGATGATAGACAGCTAGATAGGTAGATAGATAGATAGATATGCATATTATTTGAGCTACACCAAAGGAATCTTATATACTCACTTTCCAGGCCTCTGCAGTATGACAGTATTTGTGGTTTCCTGTCGAAGGTGTGCCGCTCCGTGGGTTATTACTTAAGATCTACATAAACATCCGTCGATGCATCTTCAAACCTCAAGCATGAATGTTGCAACAGAGCTCTAAACTAATTTGAGGCTTCTGGGTTTAGGGTTTAGGCTTCGGATCTCGTGCCGTTTAGGCTTTAGGGTTCAAGGCAACTAACGAGGCTGCCTTTCGATCTTAAAAACAGGACCCCACAGTAGAGAGGTGAACATTAGCGGAGCAGCTGAAGCAAAGAAATGCTCGCCCATGCCCCAACCGATACCTGTACCCGGGTGGGTTGAAGTTTCAGGGTTTCCATTTAATTACAGATGAGGATGCTCTGGTTGGGATTTATTGGGGAATTAGAACGCAACCGTAGCCATACTGGAACTTCCCCATCATGCTTGACCCTGACTAGTTTCACTCAACCTGTACTGTACGATGTATGCTTAAAGTTGTGCCAGAACCCCGAACTAAGCCTCACCGGAAGCCCGAAGAGGCCTCGCGTCGGCAGAACAAAGGCGAGGTTCTGGCTGCGCCTTGCCTCGGCTCCGGAACTTTTCACGACTTAGGGTTGAGACTGCAGGCTTATATAGGGGTGCAGATTAATGGTTGGGGCTGTGGGGTCTACCCTGAAGTATGCAACAAAATGGACCGAGGGCCAAGTTAAATGGCCTTAAAAGGGTATTTTGGGTGCATTTCTTGCCGACATCAAGTTTAAGAAGGGTTTAGGGTACTGATAAAGCTATCAATGCTACTAAATTCTCAGACCTGTGTTAACTCCATGAAGGTTCCTACGTTCAACCCTGCAGAGCCCTGAGACTTAAGCGCTGAGCAACGGCCCCCGAAATCCGGCTAGTCAAAACGAAAGACAGCACAGTCCTCAAAACCTACATCCTCATAGACTGACCCTAAGACTCCAAATAGCCCAAAGTAGGTAGTACTTATTGATTTTAGACCCCAAAGTAGGTACTACTTGTATACTTGGAGTCTTAGGGTGATAGAGATACCACATTAGCCCAGCAACCAAACACAGCTGTAAACTTTCAACTAGGTGGGGCTTTTGAAGCCTTTGAAAAGTATTAGTAAATAAGATCCTCTTAACCCCCAAAAAGGGAAAATGTCAAATGTCCCAAAGCCCTACCTAGTCAACCCAAGCCAGGTACCCAAGAAGTTGACGTCCTGCTCTGCAAGGCTTCTGAACACTCCTGTGCAACACATCATCTGGGAGTTTCCCAAATCAGGGGTACCTTACTCTGGGGTCCTTATAATAAAGATCCTACTATTTAGGGTATTATATCAGGGTCCCCTATTTTCGGAAACTCCCATCTGGGTTTCGGGCTTAGGGATCTGAACTCGCATTTCAGAATTTAGGGTCCCGCAAACATGCAGGCCATAACCTAAACCCTAAACCCTGCACACCAACCTAAACCCTGAAATAGCTTTCGCCCCTGAACCCAACCCTCCCAACTCTGCTGAGGGTTTAGGGTTTAGGGTTACCTAGATCCGAAATAGCCCATCTTTTCGAGGACTTTTGTACGAAAATCATAATTAGGAATCCTAAGAATGCAAGTTTTTTTCAGCTTCAGGTATACCCAAAACCGCCTGCAATGACGAGCTCAGTTTGGGGGTCCGACTCCGGGTTCTTCGGTGCTGGCGCTCGAGAATTGGACTCGGTACATGTTTTGTTTTAGGGTTTAGGGTTTGTAGGGTTTAGGGGTTTAGGGTTTAGGAAGGCGACAAAGAGTAGAGTTAATGAGACAGCAATAGTTCGAACAGGGCTTGAGGGCAAGACATAATAGAACTAGTTATGCGGAGACTATCTGGGGATACTATGACTAGTTCTCCCGACCCCTAGACATGAAAGGTTGAGGGTCCAGGGAGGATATACTGTGGGAAGTGGGTGCCTTTTTAGGTCGCAAAGAATTGGGGACAATCATTAAATAGACTCTAGACACCCCAATGGAAACCCTAGGTAATTGGATCCGAAATACAAGGATGTACCCCTAGTTGTGATTCAACTGTTAAGCCTGGTAAGACCCCAAAAGGAAAGACACTGTACTCCAAAAACCCTGCTTGAGTTTCCGAGATCCTGGACGCCACGTTGATATGGAAACACTGTGAGGTCACCCAGATTGTTTGTGACCCAGAAGTTCACCTTGCGCGTAGGGTTCAGATTTACTGGCCCAAGCTGTGTGGAAAACAACGCTCGCAAGCTTGGCAGCTCTTGTATACGTATCACAGAAAGAAACAAGGTTGCCATATTACGTTGGCAAACACCCAACTCAGGAAACCATATCAAAGACAAACCTTGCTGAAAACAAACCCTACTCTTCTAGAAAAGCCAACGTAGGTGCTTTTGATGTATAGACTTGAAGCCCCGAAGCAGGTACCACGTTGAAGTCTTAGGCACAATGGACGGCATCAACATGTCCGGTGAAGTGGCGGCCGTGCAGTAGCCCAAGTCAAGAAGTGGAGTGAATACGTCGGGAGTCTCAGTTCCCAGCACCGGGTCCTTGGGTGAAGGGCTTCGTGAGGGTTTCGGGCTTGGGATGTCTATACCTCTGGGTTCGGGGTTTAGGTTGTGTATACTTCCGGGTTTAAGGCTTGAGGGTTTAGGGCTTAGTAAGCTAGCTCTCACTAGAAACCGATATCCGTCCGAAACGGCTCTCCGGAATCGTCCCCTAAACAGACGCACGTGATGTGACCTAAGCCACGAATCCTCCATACCAGCAGCAACAAACCTTAAACCTCAAACCCTAAACACCCCTGAGTCCCAGAATCACACAGCATCACCTCGCCACGACCATCGGCATGAAGCACGGCTCGGACTTTGCCAGGCGACTCCTCTATTTTAGTTAGCGGCCTTTTGAACATCAGCAGGGGGTTCAAGCGAATAGAGCTGCTAAATATTCAGGCGTCTTCTGCTAGAAAGCATAGGGGTTTGGGATTTGCGGTTAAGAGCTCAGGGTTTTCTTGACTTTAACTGGTGGAGGCCTTGGGTTCGTCTGACTGACTTCCCGTTGAACCCTGGCCTTCGCTGGCAGCATGAGCAAGCGTGCAGCGGTGGGCTCAAACGCCCTGAGAACCTAAGCGGTTCAAGGTTCAGGGTTAAGGGTCTAGGGTTTTAGCGTTTGGGGTTTATAGGGTTTAAGGTTTATAGGGTTTTAGGGGGCTGAGGTGCAAGGGTTTGGGATTTAGGGGTTGAGGGTTTCCCAGGGTCTCCGATTTACCCAAAGCGTCCCAAGAAATTCATCATTCGCTACTTGGGACTTGGGTTACAGATAGTAGCTTTTGTAGGTTTGCATTCAGGAGAGTATATCCCTAAGACTCCAAGTACTCCAAGTATACAGATAGTACCTACTTGGGGGTCTAAAGTATATCAGTGCCTCCTCCTTTGGGCTAGTTGGAGTCTTATAGGGTATGATTAATTTGACAGTCAGGGTTTCCAAGCTGCTTCAAGGTTCCTTGCAAGCACTCCGACTGGGGTTCCTCTAGGCTACTATGTAGGGGTTCTATAAGTAAGCGCTCTCCATTTTTTGGGGTTCCGGGTTTATGGCTTCAGGTTCAAGATTTCGGGTCTAGGATTGAGGCTTTAGGGCTTTATAAGGTAGCAACAACCTGCTTTCGGAGACTTCTTCAAGAAGACTCCGCAAGCAAAGAATAAACACAAAGAACGCACCCAAGAGCCTTGTGGCGACGTTGGCTGGGAGCTTTCTTCGGGCTTTGGGTGGCGAGGATGTGAGCCTGAGTTTGAACGGGGTTATGCTCTAGACTATACTGAACTTAGAACCCTAGCACAAATTATAACTTTAGCTGTTTCTTAGGGGGTTATAATAACAAAAATTTAAAAATTATCTCTAAGTACCCCTAAGTAGAGTGTCAGGGTTCAGTACCCGAAAAGCACTAAATGCCATCCGGAAAACGACTTAACGTCGGTAAGCTCAATCCGACACCCTGACCCTTATACACCCCAAGGCGCCATGTACCATGATAGTAGATACCCAGACCTTCCAAAATCCCTTAATTAAGGAATCTACCTTAAATCATATTAGGGATCCGACTATAATTTAAGGTAGATTCCTTAATTAATGGATTTTGGAAGGTCTGGATACTTAAGCCCTCAAGGGGTCCCGATATAGGTGCCTAAGTATATACAAAAGGGACACTATGCACCTCTACGCCCAACACATAAGCTCCTTACCGAGCACCGCAGCACCTAAACCTGCGCCCTAAAAGCCAGAGCAAAAACACCAACACCAGAACCTGCACAGTTCCAAGCATCTTATGAAAGCCTTGCCAAAACGCAACAGAAGCCTCCGAATTAAAAACCTCTAACAACCCCACCAAACCCTGAACATTCCCTAAACTATACTGAACTTAGAACCCTAGCAGAAATTACAATTTTAGCTGCTTTTTAGGGATTATAATAACCAAAAATTTAAAAAAAAACTAAGTACCCCTAAGTAAACCCTAAGCCTGCTGGATCTTGGTAAGGAGCAGTAGGTCTGTTCTCCGGTACGATGGCCACAACTTCCATGCCACGAGAGATGCCAAAGTTAACCTTAAATGGGCTCAGGGTTTAGGCTGTGTGTTGGTATGGTGCTTTCGTCTTTTTTCAGGACTTGAGAGAGTTTGATTGAACTTTGCCAAGGCTCTTTGTTGCTTTAACTGCTTTGTATCTATCTCTAGGGGTCCATGTACCTAAATAGTATAAACTTTGCCCTGAAAGCACTCCCTGTCTAGGTAGATTCGGCCCAACGTATATACTATGCTGGTACATGGACCCCTAAACCCTAAAGCCCTTATAGATAGAACCCTTATAGGCGCCCTTAAGGGAAGCCCTTATGCCACCCTGAAGGGTACATGGACCCTTAGGGTGTGTGATGTGCGATCGTTGTTCGGCCTAGTCTCTGAGCGTTTCGGCTGCTGTCTGTCGCTTGGAGGGTTGTGGTGCGCCAGAGAGCTGCCGACTACCTCTTCTTTCAAGACTAAAGTAGGGGCCTTGGTAATTAGAAAAGAATTTTGGGGTATAATATACTATAGATAGTTTAAAGAACACACCAAAATAGAATAAAGGTAGTGATTAGCGCACCTAAAACAACCTCCCATAATACCCTTTATAGTAATCCTTATGACCTTAAAGGAACCCGATGATTCTTAAGGCCCCTATAGTACACCTGGAATCATGGGACTAGTCCAGGGATAAGACGAGGACAGCTCCTCGCTTTCGGAGTACTGGGATGTTGGGACATTTACTTACCCAAAGGGTCCTATGTACCGATATAGCAGAATGTAGGGTTTCCATATTAGGAACTACTCTTATGACTTAGGGAAGTATCCCCCCCAAAACAGTACATAGGACCCTTTGGCTAGTTGATGAGAACACAAGCCCCGAATAGCTTTTAGCTTTATAGTGCGCAATATTATCCCCAAAAGCGTAAAGTGTATCCACTCAGCTACTAAGCTTACCCTAAGGCTCAAATTGGCCCAAAAACCTTATATAATATGGTCTTTAGGCCCAAAAGCCTTGAAATATGAGTCCTTATAGCCTTTGGGTTAGAAAAGTAGGGCAACCTGGATCCTACGAACACCTTCCTTTTTTCAGGGTTCCTTTTTATAAAATCCTTATGGAGGTCCTGAACAAGAGAGGTGCTGTAGGCCCCAGGAAGACATCAGGAAGACATAAGAACACGTAAAGACATGAACACGGCAACCGAGGCAATGGTTACAGCTGTGACAGTAGTCAACGACAGGACTCTAAGACATATAACCCTTATATAGTAAAGTTCGAGCCATCGCACTAGCATGTAACATCACCGACCACCAACTACGTTGCTAGTGTCGCATAGCACGATAGTGAGCGGTGCGCCGAGGTGCAGTGTCCACAAAGTCGGAATCGGAGGCAAGAATAGCGACCTGGCACATACTGGTCCAGTTCCGTTGGTTGACCCTTGCAAACCACATCTGCTGAAGATTGCTGACTCGACCACTATGGGGACGACATGAAATCAGAAGCCGCCGAAAATCATGTCACAGCCTAGTTCAAGGCCCAAACTAAACACACCGAAACCAAGCGCACGACCCCAAGCCAAACAAAAACAAACAGCCAGACATCTTATAAAACTCACCTCGACCCTTCAACGGGCCCCAACTACGTACCCTCTAATGACTGATCTATACACTAAATGCCCACGATCAAGGACCACAAGGGCTCTCTTCACTAGCACTTGGGGGGTCCTGGTAAACCCCCAAGGCCTACACACCAAACCCCAAACTGTGACGCCTAGTGGTGCTAGACCCTACTCCCTAAGCCCAACACCCCAAGCCCCAATCTGTACTGAACACTATACTCTAGGAGCTCAATAATGAGAACAGTTTTTTGGGGGATGTTATACTACAGCTGTATATTTACATCCATGAACCCTAACAATAGCATTGGGCATTATTCGGACCTCCTTCATAACAGAAAGCGTCCGAGTACCTCGTTCGGTCGGCTGGCACGGTCCTCTGCCAGCTTGCGTACCCTATTGTCGATGGCAGCATCGTTCGGATCTCCTTGGCTTGCTTTGTTGTGTTGGGCTTTGAATACAAGGTTTAGGGATTAGTGTAGGGTTAAAGGATTAGGGTATGATGCAGGCTACAACTTAAGTTTCTACGCTTGTGGTTTGCTTGTGGTTGGCGTGTAGCTTTAATGGCCCACCATTCTAAGGGTCTTGTCCTACAAATAAGGCTAGAGGCTTTCGGAATACACGAGGAGCTCTGGGAATGTATTAGGCTTTAACATGTCAGGGTATGGCTTGGGGTTGTGGTCCCTAATTCGGTTTTTAGGCAGGTTAAGCATAGAAGGTGTATATGTGCAAGCCCACATAAAACCCCGTGGCCAAGTCTCCATAGGCCACCGTTCGTGGCACGATCTCGAACTGCAGGCGAGCCGATCGTTTCACCTCAGCAGCTCCTGTTCAGACTGACCAAAATGGTAAACCATTAGGGTTTAGGGTTTAGGGTTTAACAGAGATCTAGTCAAAACGCTTCACTAACTGAACCCAAAACCCTAAGCGCTGAATCCTGAACCCTTAACCACCAACAGAAAAAGCATTTTTGGTCTTGGCCTCAAGGTCCTCAAAGGCTTAAAACTTGACAAACAAACGAATACAAAAACCAATACATGCACACACACACGCACACACAGACAAACAGTCTAAGCCTTTAACACATCCAAGTCACTTGCTTCCATTCCTTTGACCCAGCATGCTCCTGCGTGCTCAACGGGTCGCACTGTTGCCCCTCAATGAAAACCCTAAACCCTGCATCCTTTTAGGATCTATCAGAAATTGAAACCCAGGAAGTGTGGGGCAGTAGAGTAGGGTCTGGGTCCCAAAGGTCCTAGGTACTGTTACGGAGGATACTTCCCCCCAAGTATCAACCGTAATTCCTGATAAAGAAACCCTACATTCGACATTTTGGACCCTTTAGGGGTGTAGCTGATTGCTGGTTTGCATGCGCTCTCCTGTCAGGCGACCGGGCTGGTCCGTACTTCACCATGTCGCACCCATCGCATGTACTGGGCGGCCTAGGTTTAGGGTTTAGGGAGTACAGTATAGACTCTTATTTTATAATGGCTCCCGTTAAGTAACTGGTCAGCAAAGAAGCATTAACGCATGCTACTCCAAAGCCCCGTGTAGTCACGGGATGCGAAACAGTGGCACTGTCTCACGTACCATAGACACCGGAAGCATCGGGCAAGTCGCCCCTAACGCACAAAGCAGGAGCATTAACCCTAATGATTGAACCTTACCTGAGCTGACTAAACCTCGAAACCTAAAACGGGTATACTAGACCATAAGCAATAGGAGGAGCACCAAAGAATAACACAGTTTGGATGTAGGGTTTGTATATGGGAATAGGGCTACTTTCAGGGGTCGTTTAGTCCTCAAGGTTACCTCAAACTACCCTTTCATGGTAGGTTCTGATTATCAGGCCGAATATGAAATCTGTAGGAGCCCTACAGAATCTTTAGGTTTTGGAAGTTCAAGGCTGCGGCTATGGGTAATGCAATAATTCCCTAAACTCCCTGAACCCTAAAACCCTAACCCGGTAAGCCCGAAACCCTACCGCAAACAGCTGCGAAAGAGCTTGCTAATCCAATACATAGTATTTGCCCCACCCTGAACCCTAAACCCAAAACACGGACCCCAAAACCTGAACCAAAACCCTAAACCCTCAACCACAACCCTAAACCCTAAACCCTAAACCCTAAATCCTAAACCCTAAACCCTAAACCCTAAACCCTAAACTCCAAACCTGAGGCACATCAGCCCGACGATCCCAACCCTAAGGCTAAAAATGGCCCAAAAGCCTTATATAATATGGTCTTTAGGCCCAAAAGCCTTGAAATATGAGTCCTTAGAGCCTTAGGGCAAAGGTGAGGAGCCCCACGACGATCGGTTTTATACTTTCGGATACTGTTTCTACTTTACGTGGGTAGTTCTTGAACTTGGGGTCCCTTATCGTGGGCCTTTTATAAGGGTGCCGTACTATTCCGGGAACCTAGATCTACACATTTAGAGAACTATGCTTATAGTTGTAGACCTCCACAACATTACAGTTTTCAGAGTTTGGGTCCTATAACAAAGCGACTTGTCAGTTTGCTGAGTTTAGGTCTACGTGTGTATGACGCCTATCGTACCCCTGACCCAGTCACCCATTATGTAGTCATTGACGTAACCCGGCTCATAGTAGACCCTCAACGCCGTGGCAAACGTCATGCCTAGAACCCTAACCAGAAACGAAACAACTCTACTCAGTCCCCTTATCTTTTCCTTACATGAACTCTAACCAAATCGAGCAAACTCTACTTCGCCCCCTTACATATTCCAAACGAGAACCCTTGGAAAGGGGAAGCGGTTAATCCCCAGCATCACTACTTGGAGGATCATGGGCTCATGGGACTAAGTAAGTAAGGCCTGAACTACCCTAATTGGGGTTATCAGTAAATACAAAAAAAAGGAGGTACCCAATACACAACTTATACCTCTAGTTTTTCAGTCCCATGATCATCCAAAGAGTCCACCAGCATCCTAAACCCTAAACCCAAATCCCTAAACCCTAAACCCTTAACCCTAAACCCTTATCCCTAAACCCTTAACCCTAAACCCTAACTCGCTAACCCAAGATCTCCTCCTGGGCCGCAAACACGATCACTTCCACCTGACCGCCAGGGCCCCTAATCTAGGAATCTGATTCACAAACCCTGGGTCTCTATTGGGGTTCCGTATGTGAGTCCTACTGTTTGGGGGTTATAGGGCCAGGGTTTCTTAATCAGGTTCCTACATTAGTTGTTCGCTGATGTTGTTTGGCGAACTGAAGCAATCCCTGAATGGTCCCATGGTTCTTGTGAAGGCTCTATATGGGTTTTCAGGATTTGGTGCTATTGATTAGGAGTATACTCTTTCGCCGCTAAGGCATACCATACTATGTCTAGAACCGGACCTGTTACCTATTAATTAACTAAGCCCGCCGACCTTGCAAGTGTCCTACACCCCCAAACCCTTACAGTACCCTTATAGAGCCCTCACTGTACCCTTATAAAGCCCTTACACAGCTTGGGGTTTTGGGCGATTTAGAAAGGAAGCCCTACCCAAAGGTTCCTATGTACTGTTACGGGGGTTACTTCCCTAAGTCATAATCGTAATTCCTAATATGGAAACCCTACATTCCACTATATAGGTACTTCGGAACCCTTAAAGGAAACCCAAACCCTAAACCCTTAAAGGACCCTAGGGCTAAGACCTGACGGAGCGCCTGCTTCTTGCGAGCTCTGTGGGTTTCCTCTGGCTTCCTGCTGTCCGTTTCGCGGAGAAGGCGAAGGGCTTCTATGACCTTGCGGCTTTGGTGGGACTTCGCGCTTTAAAGTTCCTTTAACGGGATCCATAAGGGTTCCTTCAAAAGGGATCTCTGAGGGTGCCTTGAAAAGGATCTATAAGGGTTTACCCATAGGCTCCATTGTAGTTCCTTTTGGTGGTTCATATTTAGGACCCTGTAAGGCAATCCCAAGCAGGAACTGCAATGGAGCCTATAGGTACAGGGGCTGCCTAAAGAAGGACATCATGGTAAGTAAACTCTAGGTTTTCTTGGCGTCCAGCTAGAGGTTCAGGGCTTAAGGTGTATATCCCATATGGTCCCACGTACTGCTATTGTGGTACATCGCTAAGTCATAACCGAAATTCCTAATATGGAAACCCTACATTCTACTGTATCGGTACATAGGACCCTTCGGGTATAGGGTCGCACAAGGCTTGAGAGGGACTTGCCCGGATATCAAAAGTATGCAAAAAAAGTGCCTTAATAATTAGAATAGGGTTTTAAGGCCCGTTTTGGACTCTTATTTTAATGAGAGGGAAGCCCGAAGGTAATTATTGAGGCACCGATATTAGAATACCAGCCCTTCATCGGGTTTGGGCAATTATTGCCACTACTTTTTGAGGGTTAGGTGGAGCTTAGGACTGCAAGGGTTAAGATCCAAAGAATCAGGTTCAGAGCCATGGGCTCGTGTAGCCCATGAGGCTCTTCTGTGTGTGTGTGGGTGTGGGTGGTTGTCAAAATTAGGGTCCCTTTTTGGGTCCCTATTACAATACGGCGCCTAATATGTAGGGCACCCAAGAAGCGACCATCATTTTGACAACCACCCCTGTGTGTGTGTGTGTGTGTTATGCCTTCTAGAGATACCCGGGCTTGTCTTTCCCTAGCTGGACCCTCCCTCGGGGCTAAAGTCCACCGTGCACACATCACTACTAGGTTGGCAAAAAAATGAGTAAACAGGAACAGCAAGCCTTATCATAGGAAGCACCAATAAGGCTTCGCTACGGCGTGCGTATCATGCACATAACCCACACCGCCGTAATCCATCAGAATAGAAATCGTAGCAGCAGTAGCACGACTCAGAGCAGAACACAACAGCAGGAGTAGTATTGCTGAATCCGCAAATCACCACACACATGGCATACACCATCCAAGCAGCAGTCGCAGCAGCGATAGCAAGACTCAGGCAGCACACGACATAGTTGATCGCCACACAAGAAACATCAGAACAAGCACTACCCCAAAATCTTACGAATACAACTGTTCCAGTACATAAAAACACGAAATACAGAATAACAAAAGCGATACCCAAATCCTAAACCCTACACCCTATCCCCAGAACTGAACCCGGCAGGCTGCTTTAGGGATTTTTGCTATCTCGCGGGCGTCAGTCTCAGGTTTTAGGGTGGCTTGGGGTTTATCAAAAGGTTTAGGCCCAGGAATTCGCAAGGAATGTCCAAGGAACGTCGTCCGGGCCGTGCTGATCTGCATCGACCAGAAGCCTCAAGCGCTTCAACAAAATTGGGGGCGGTGTCGGAGTTAAATGCCATGCGCAAACTGCGCTGCAAGTAACATTCCCACATCCGGGAAAAGTGAATAGTATCATCGCGAGACCATACGCCACGGGTGACACTAAAGGCCTTGCATTGGTTAGGAATCATATTTTAGACGCAGGCATGATACAGTGTTGACAACGAAACTGCAAAACACAACAACTGTCGACAAAGCTGTGTTCTCTCCACATACCAGGCGCTGCAGCCATTAACTCATACGAAAATCAATCGGTTCTTTCAGTTCACAAACCGAGAAGATGGACGATGGATGTCTAGATAATCACTATACAATCCCTCTACAGCCCAAACCGATTATGCAGACAAAGTTATAACCCGAACCCCAATGTAGTGCTCGGGCCCCGAAAAATGCCGTTGAACGTTCAACTTCACCCAGCCAGGTTCCACTACCAACCGGCATCATAAGGATGCTAATATTGACAGCAGCTATGATGGCAAGACTAGTTCGACCCCATATCATGCTCTAATTCTCGAACCGGCCGAAGCAAAACAAATGTAGGGGCATGCGAGCATCACTGAAATCTCTTCAAACGCCTCAACGACCCGCGAAATTTGCCAACGAAGATTTTGCAACCGCACCATAGTTGATCCACAAGGAACCCCAATACAGCCTGGTGTGTTCATGTCAAAACAAACAGAACATGTAAATAAATGCACAACTGCTAAGCTAATTAACGAGGATTAACGAGGATGAAATCTCAACACTTAAATACCTGAGGCTCGGCACGCCAGAAACATCCGAGATCTCTGAAACACAGTATATCGCTGTACCCCGAACATAAAGCCTTATAACCCTGAGGCTTCAAGTACACCATGCGGGCTTTGGCTTGTCTAATTACACTTATAAGCTTGGCAATTCCCCAACTCCCCAAACTCAGACACCAAACCCTGAATGCAACCAGGCTTCGTTGACTTTGTAGTCGACTTGACAGCCTCCCTGAAACGCCCCGCCACCGCAGTAGCGCAAACAGTACCGACAGTCATTTGCAGCCATGGCTGCGCACTATCCTTGGGTTCAGGGGTTTTAGTTTAGGCTTCACCTGTAACCTCAAACCCTACACACTGGTAGGTTATGACCCCTGTACATCGGGAATAACACCCAAAAAAGAAGGTGTTTGTATCCCAGGTAGGGTCCAGGGCCTAGGAATTAGGGTGTGCGCTGTCCTCGGTTTCAGGGAGTAGTTAAGTAGGTTTGTAGACTTCAGGGATTGGTCTGGGAATCAGGTCTGGTGCTTCGGGAAGTGGGGTTAAGGGTAGGGATGGCTTGCGATTTAAAGAACGTTGGAACATCTTTCGACTTATGTTTTCGGGCAAGCTCGTGTTTATCTTTGGGCACCCTCCGAATTCAAACAAACGAGTGAAGCCATCTGCGAGAGTAGATTCTGCCCGCCGCTGCCTGCTGCAAACGCCGCAGACAAAAGGTTGCGGTCTGCGCCCAGCGGCAACGGAGCTCTGTCGGGGCTGAGGCCATACCGCAGTCTCCGGGGCGGCGGCATAGCTTCGCATATTGCTCTGCTCCACAATACTCTACAAGAAACCATACATAAATCAAGGAACCGTCCCTTGGTTCACGGGTACTGGGCTGTTTGGGTAGTAAGCCCAAAGAAAGCAGGGTTTGGGCGTCAGGCCTTGGGGATGCTTGTTACCGGTATCTGGGAGTTTCCGAAAATTAGGAGTGCCTAATTCTGGGGTCCTTATAACCAGGATCCTACCATTTAGGGTAGTATACTAGCGTCCCCTATTTCGGAAACTCCCATCTAGCAATATAGTATAGAGTAGCAGGGAACGCGGACATCTGCAACGGCCCCTTGTCAGGTTTCCTGCTTTACCTTCGAGTGCATGTACCCATACAGTATATGTGCTGGCCAAAAGGTAGTCCCTATAGATGTGCTTTAGAGCCAGGGGACATTGTTAAGAAGCACATGACTAGAGCCGAACACTGCGGAATGCAACTATTGCCGTAAAACCCTAAACCCTAAACCCTAGACCCTAAACCGCGACTATTACCCTAAATCCTGAACCCTCAACCGAAGCCCTACCTGAACCCATCAATGAATCCGGCAGCCCGCATGTTCTACTGGGCGTCCCATCATTTTTCGCTTGGGGGTTTGGGGGTTGAGGGACCGTGTACCCTTGTAGTGTCTGTAAGGTTTGGGGCTTTGGGGGCTTAGGGTTCGTATATGCCTATGCTTGTTCAGGATTCCTAGATACTTTGGTCCTGGACCATAGGGACCACAGTATATGGGCCCAAGGCTACAGTATGAAACCCCGCAGACCCTGCAACACCTCTAGATCATATAGGTGTGTGGACCCCTGCATAAACCACCGTCATACCTACAGGATGTGGGGACGGAACAAGCAAGTCGAAAGTACGGTAAAGTAAAAGATGGCACCATGTAATTAGAGTTCTTGTAACTCTTGTTGTAAGCTGTTCCGCTTATCCTTCAACTACTCGCGCCTACGCCGACCTAGCCACAGTTCAGGTCCGACCTCGTTTTGCTCTGACAAGTACCCAAGACCGCAACACCGAATTGAAGCAACCACCTAACTATACTGAACTTAGAACCCTAGCAAAAATTAGAACTTTAGCTGCTTCTTAGGGATTATAATAACCAAAAACGAAAAATTATTTCTAAGTACCCCTAAGATAATAAAGGAAAGGCAAGTTTAGGAGGCATGAGTTTCCCGCAGTGGATAGTCTGCCTACCAAGGCTACGATTTACGCTTAAATCAGAGTCTGAGAAGCATGCTATCAACCACCCTCTACCATCACGGCATCAAGAATGGCTATGGGTGAGCATGAGTGTTGGATAAGTAAGATCTTTACAAACCCTTTTGACGCCCTTTTAACATAAGGGCAAGCGTTGCATCCTTAATGGATGTCTGAAAACCGTAAACCCGGCCCTGACACAACAACAACAAACCAACTGAAACTGCGAGTGAATGTGCAGGTCTGTGGTGAGGATTCGTTGGATCTCTCAGCCACGTTTGGTGGCTTCCTTCGAAGTTCTAGAACATGAACAGAAGGATGAACACGAGTTGTTCTAAACGCTGAAACCGCACTCCGTGTACATTAAGAACTTTGCACGGCACAATCACCTCGTGTAGTGTAGCTCCTACGAACAAGTTGTAAGTGAACTTACGACTAGAGTTGGCTACAGGTTGGGCTACCTTAATCCCACTTCCTCAAAATTCATGGGCATAACAAGTTAAGCAATCACGGCACGGCTGCGCCTCTCACGGCCTACGTAACACATCACTAGTTATATTAAAAGCCCTCAACCCTAAAGCCCTAAACCCCTCTAGTCAGAAACCCTAAACCTACCGCCCCCCCTTTTGGCTCAGGGTGAAGGCCTCCGGGCAGCCGTGCAGAGGCGACAAACATGGGTACCTCCGGGCCGTGTCCGGTGAGGGTTTATAGGATTTAGGGTTTCGGGTTTATAGGGTCTAGCGTTTTGATTTAGGGTTTTGGGTTTGGGATTAAGGATTTAGGTTTAGGGTTTCGGTTTGTAGATTTACTCAGAGGTTCACCGGACTTAGTACTTAGGGATATATGGATAATGTAACTCGATATAACTACTTTTCACTCCCAAAACCTGACGTCTTAAGTCCCATGCTCCAAGTAGGGGTTTGGAGCTGAGGCTGGCTGTGCTGTTTTTGGTGCAGGAGTAAGGGCTTCCGAAGTTTATGTGCAGGGGTCCAAATATGTTCTTCGGCGCAGGGTTTGGGGTTTTAGGATTTGGGCTTAAGTCTTTGGGGTTCAGGGCAGGATACGAGAGCGGCCGAACTATACAAGCAGAACAGGGTCTCGCAGTATCTTTGGAGACAAATTATTGTTGAGTCTGCGCTGCTGAATTGTGCTTGCCAGGGGCTTGGCAGACGCGGGTTTGCGTGGCCATGGTATCGCTCTTGAAGCAACCATGAGATCCACGGAACTGTATGCCGCAACTCGTGTAGCGCATACGCTGTTGCCTTAATGGAGTAGCCACTGTATCACCCTTGAAACAACTATGAGAAGTCCCTACGAGGGCACTCATGGCCCCACGATGGCCCAATTATGTACGACATGTGTAGTTGGAGGATCATAGTCGTTAGATAGAAGGTTCCAGGTACATTATGCAGAGTTATAGGTGGTTCTATACTTACCTTATAAATCCCTATATCCCTACATAAGTCCCTTGATCCTCCCAGTACAAGGACTCTTGGGGATTCTAGCATTCAGGCCCCAAATAAGAGCAGGAGGCTTGGACGTCAAGCTTCAGGCTGTTCGTTTGTTTCGGTCGAAGGGTTCAATAACCTGTACAAGGGCCTGCATGATTAAGATCGGCTTTCGCCGCACATTTTCCATAAGCAGTATCGAAACTTGAGTCTGGAGGGAGATACGGTTGATATATATATATATATATATATACATATATATATATATCCTGCATTACCTAAGGACCCTAAACTACGGGAGTCATGGTATATTCCTTGTTATGGGTCATGCAGGATTCATATCCTCAACCGTATTTTTCCTAATCATTCATGCCTCTATGTTGGAAGGGAGCTTGGCCTCAAGCCTCAAGTTTGTGTAGTAAACGATCGGTTACGGCGAAACAGGGCTCGGGCAGCTTACGGTAAACTGGAAATTCGCACCCCCAGCTTTCAGAAACTTGCATATAAGAATGTTATTGGTCAATTTCATACCCTGAACACTAATCCCTGAAAGCCCTAAACCCTGTACAAAGCTTTCGGTTCAGCGAAGTCCCGATTTTGGCGTTCTTATAACATCACTTAGGTTTGGGTTCTTCAGTCCCTGGCCCTCACGCTCCAAGTGTCAAAATAGGAACCTCTTTAAGGCCAAACTCTATTCTGTACATTCTGTACAGTGTAAGTACATAAACCCTTAGGGTAGTTAATAAGTTCTGAATCCAAGCTGTCAGCTTAACTTGCATGAAGGAGCTTAGACGAACCCAAGCATGGAAGGTTGCGATACGTGCAATGACTACTAGGTGGGGCTTTTGAAGCCTTTGAAAAAATATTAGTAAATAAGATCCTCTTAACCCCAAAAAGGGAAAATAAAAAATGTCCCAAAGCCCTCCCTAGACTACAGACCCTGCATCGTTCGTTTCGTCGGCAACAGAACGGATCCAAATCCGTGGATTGTGTCAGATGCACGACCACTCCTCTCTTGGAGGCTCAGTTCATCTCAGTTCCAATCTCCCAGGTTGAAGGTTTAGATTCTAAGGCTTCGGGGCGGAGCACAAGGACCCCATGCAGGCCCGAAATCCCGCCAAACTGGTCTCAGGAATATGTAAAGCTCTCCCAATTGGGGTGCCATGTAGAACCCTCGAAAGACGACTATGTGACTTTCATCATCTGGACATATAGACAAGGTCTTCATGAAAGTTTAGGAGGTTTACATAGGTTTGAGGCTTAGGGAAATTCAGAGTTACGCATAATGGTCCTGAGAGGTTTTGGGATCTGTGCGTGATCCTTAATTATTGTGCTACGTCAGCTGGGTGGCTTCTTGGTCTGAGTCCCTCATCTTTTTCCATGCCAGTACCTTTACAAATAAATGGATGTGTGTGTGTGTGTGTGTCTATGTGTGAATTACATGTACACTGACGTGTAAACAGACGAATAACAAACATGTGTATACATATACATGTATATAACCCCTAAACCCTAAACCCTAAACCCTAAACCCTATACTGTATATAGAGGAGCCTTCTTAGGTCTCAAACTCTTAGGGTTTCCTTGTTTGTGAAACTCCGGCATGTAAAAAAACGCAACCGGGCCGTCTCAACACCCGAAGCCCTAAACCAACAAACAACACACCGCAAACACGACGCAGTACTTCAGGTGATTGGAGCCACTAGGCCTTCATGTCGCTTGAAGATACGAGCCCAGGGTCCAGATTTTGATGTTCTAGGGTTTACGGCTTCTGCGGCTTGGTTGCACCAAAGAGGCGGCTGTAACCTGGAGAAGTGACTCGAATCGTGACTAGAACCGCAGTCTTTGCCACGTCCTCGATGAGAACAAATGCCGCGAGTGTATTGAACATGAGTATCGTGCAGCATAAAGAAGCAAGGTGTAGCGCAGTTTAATATCACAGTTTCGTACAATATAGAACAGTAATGATGTACACAAAGTACAGTGAAATACATGTTGCTACAGTAGTGGAAGTTAGAGTAGGTAAGAGCCCAGTATAGCAAAGCATTGTAAAGCACGGTGTGGCACGGTACAGTCCACTGCAGTATGCGATAGCCAAAATATACTATATCAAAGTAAGGTACGGTGCAGCAGAGTAGAGTTAAGCATGTCGACTAGTAAAGTAGTAGCATGTGTATGGTATATAGCATCTAGCAAATAATGTACAACATATAGGCTATAGCAAACACTAGGGGGGTAGTGTCTGCGGCAATAAATACAGGTTGTCTTCTCTATCTTGCACAGAACCTGACAAATGCTGAGCCTCCGCGTGAGGAACCGCAACTGCAGCATAGGGCAGGTGGCGGCTC